TTCTGTGTAATCCGATTTTCTGTATCGTTGTTGTTGCTACTCCCTTTGTTTGCTGTTCTGTTAAACTGGCCTTATCCCGACCCACCGGTTTCTGCCTGTTTATTTCCCTTCTCCTCCGCACCCCGGCGGGGGGTGCAAGGGGTGTGTGTGTGTCAGGAATTGCTTTTGAGCAGCCTGACAGCCAGACTGATCACTTTGCTTTTCTACTATGTGGCACAACCAGTACCTATAGCTCAGCCTTTTCCTTTATAACAGGGAGATTGCCTTATCTGTCTTTCAATTCACTTTGTCACTATAAATCATCTGAAAGTCGTCAAGTCTGCCTCTGTCAAATGTCAACCAGTAAATAAATTGAGCAATTTCAATTTCTTCAATAGTTTGTCCCCTCTCCACAGGTACATCTGTTATTTATTGCCATACCCTTGCACCAATAGAACAAGCACAGTATTCCACCTCCCCCACCCCATCTCAGAAATTTAAGTTCCAAAGCTTGCCCCAGCCCTGTCATGCTCTGACTCCTCCAGTATGAAACCTTGCCACACCAGCAATGAGACCTCAAACTCCACCACTATTGAGCTAGCTCTTCAGAACTCAGATCAGTGGCTTTTTCTGCTTGTGCTGCCTATCTTTATACACCTATCCTCCAGGGCAATCCTCTTCCAGGCCAATGCCTTATCTAACAAGGCTGGGACTCCTGAGACCACAACAGCCCTGCAGATGGTCCTAGTACAGCATCCTTCCAGTTCAGCCCAGCTTACCCACTGTACAGGTGACAGGGAGCACAAACACAGCATACCCAACACCTTCAGACCTGCTTCCTTTTCATCTCTTTAGAGAATCGGGCTCAGAAAAATTCTTACTCCCTCCATGACTCCCAAACAGAGAAAACTAAAATAAAAGGTGGATGATGTTCTCCTAACGTTTGTTACCAGTACAAGCTGAGAACTGCTGAGTCAAACTACCCTAGTCTCCATTTTCACCATTCACTGTACTTTTTCAGTATCTTTCTTTTAAAAGGACTAAAGTATATCCTACCCTGATCATGTATACTGCAGACAGCTAAGAAAGGTACAGTCTTAACAGAAAACACTCCAGGCTCTCATCATCAACTGACCTGTACTAACAGAACATGTGTACGTGCTTGGCTTAATCCAGTTATGATACTAGATGTTCAGTTAATTAGCCTGAAGGCTTGCCGAAGCCAATGCACTTTGCAACTGTTGCACACTGGGAATGCACTGGCTGCTGTTTCAGGTCAGCTGCCAGGGCAATACCTCGATAATGGAACTACCTCTCAAGAAGCAAACGAGTAACCAGAAAAGGCTTAATACTGCATCACTGAACAAGGTTAGGAAATATTAGCAGCTTACCTTCTTGACAGTCATTGTGGCAAAATACAACTGGTGATGAAGTAGCTTCAAGCATAGCTCTAAAAAACAGCAACGTAGCATCTTGTAAGTAACAAATCACTAAGTTCAGTTCCACTTTCAAGCAAAGAATAGATTTTGCTGTAAAAATTTGAAGCACTATTAATTTCTAGGAAGACCCTATTTTCTCAGTTAGGAGCCCAAGATCAGGACAACGAAGCTGGACTTCACTGATCAGCAAGTCAGATCACCAACTGATTGTATTAGTTTGCAGTCAAATGAGACTCAGGTTGGTTACAGAACCAAAAACAATCCCCAACTTGTAAAGTAAAATGAATATAGGGTATTATACAGTACAATGTGTTTGAACAAGTATACAAATTCATACTGAAACTGTGCAAATTGGAAGACAGTGGTAGACAAAATAAGCCTACCTTAGATTTTTCATTTCCTGGGGGAGATTGTAACTGAGGAGTTTGCTCAGTTTTCTAGTTCTGGATTCTCTGGTAAATTGAATCCTCAGCACTTGATTTAGGTATCTGTTAAAAACAGAAACAATAGTACAGCATTTGTGACAATAAGTGTATTAGTCTTCCCCATACCAAGATACCATTTAAACTAAAATCAAGAAAGTTTAAAAAAAGTGTTAATGTTACTATTCAAGGTAATTTAAGTTCCCCATGTAACTATGAACCAGTGTGTGGGTACAGGGAGAGCTTGTGCTCTCAGGCATTCAGGAAGAATGATCTGCTTATGAAAATTACAACAGGTCACCTTTTTTCCATACTTTAAAGTATTTCGTAACTTACTTTTCCATTGTTCCAAAAAGCCACTTAGGTTCTTTATTAAATGGCATTTTCATGCCATGAAATCTAGCCATCTTCTCAGCTATTTCAGCAGATATGTCAGGTAAGCTTAGTTCTTCAGTACTTAGTTTCCTGCTCTGTAATAAAATACAGTATTTTTAAATACAGTTCATTGATTAATTACAGAAGTGTGATTAATTACAAACACTAGCATTAGTTTTTATATAGCATAAAATACTAGCATAGTAACTCAAGCAATACCCTTTTTTCATCCCAAATTAACTTACAAAATTGCTGTCTTTGGAAAAGCCGAGTTAGCTGGCCTAGCTAACTTAAAATTTAGTCAAATCTCTTCTAGATCAAGACCTGGGGAATATCACATCTCACACTAAAAATATCTTCAAAGCAGATTGAGTAGAAATATTTAAGAACATCAAAAGCATCTGCTTTTTTTGCTGTTAAAGGAAAGTGTTACTCCATAGCTTCCAATGCTGTTTGGTATCTAACAGGCTTTTTATCTTCACTTATTGGTCTCTGCTACAGCTGAAGGGTTTTTAGATACCTCATCCTGGCAACAGCTATAACTGGACTCTCCAACACTCACTGTAACTGTATCAAATTACAGCTAGCAATTACTACAGGTTGCGATGTATTCCATTCCCACATTTCTGGCTTTTCTGGGCAGTCCAGAGACCTTCTTGTCATGATCAATGAAAACAGCTACCAGTCCACTAACTAATAATGAACAGGACTTACAGGAATGAATTCCTCCAGTCGCCCTTGTGGAAAGATTCCATACAGCTTTGGGCCAAGTGCTCTCTCCGCAAGAATGGCAAACATAACACTTTCCAGAACCATAGTTTCTGCCCCCTACAAAAAAAATCAATCCACTAGTTGGTGCTTGCACAGAAATGAACTTAGGTGTGCACAATAGCTAAACTTCTACAAAGTGAGAAATTTTAGGGTTAGCTTTAAAAAAATGACTCAACATTTTACTAACCAACGTTTCTTGACTAGTAACAACTCACAGTTAGCATTGGAGCAATACAAATATTTTGCTTTCCAGTTTAAAGCTAGGGAGGAAATATTACTTAACAGGTACTGTTGGTGGGCCAGGTCAAAGGAAAACTGCAAAAACCAAAACACCTTCTCCTCCCTAACCTGTGGGACCTCTGCAGATTCATTTCCTGAAAGAGTTTATCCTACTGAAGCACAGCACAGGAACCATAAATATTATCCTTGGCTATTTTAACACACGTGGAACACTGCCTCACAAAAGGACATTTTAACTATGCAAGTGAATGAAGTGAACAACTGAACTAACCAATTTTTCATTTAGAAGAATGACTTTGGATTTGTTTCCCTTAAGCACATTTTAGGTCTTCCTTTTTTTTGTTTTCTTAGAGAGAGAATAATTTAAACTCTTGCTGAGGAGAATGTCCAAACATGCCTGAAGTTTCATGAACTTTTCTTCATGGTTTTCCCTACATCAGTAATCTCAGTCCGTAACAATCACAAGCAGACAGTTTTTTAATATGAATGTTTACAAACCAGAAATACTAAATGTCTCAAAAATACAGTTAAAATTACTGAAGTACACCTTTCTTGATGCATAAGATCAGCTGTAATACAGAAGTCACAGTATAAATTGCTACTTCTAGCAATTATTTCAGAATCCAGTTGTACTCAAATCCTAGAGGTATGCTAAGCCTCTGCCTGCTTTTCAGCAACTCATCTCAAAGTCTGACCCATGACACTTAAAGCCATAAGAATTAAGAGGACAAAATTAAGAAAGCTCTCAGATATGTTGGACTACAGAGCCTTTTGCGTTACTGCAGTCACTGTAGTCTCAGACAGTAAATAACTTTCTACACAAATTCCACTCCTGAGTACACTCCAGGGAGTTCCGTTGATAAATTATTTTTATTACTGGCCCACATTTTATTATTCTAGCATCTTCTCAAGAAATTCTAGCATTTCATATTGAAGTGTAGGAAAGACTCATAACTATGTTCTAAAGCATTAACCTCAATAAAAAGTAAAAGAGTCAACAAGAATATAAATTGAGAATTTAAGACGATTTGCATATGGATGTATTGCATCCACATCCTCCATCATTTTTCCATCTCAACTCCTCAAAGCAGAACTAATGCACCAAAATTATGTACTTTTAATCATTTCATGTGCCCTCACCACCACAGATCTGAACTTTTCAGTTCAGTTCCTAAGTCTAACGTCAAGCACCAGAAAGCAACTTAGATACAGGTTACTGAATGTCTGCTCCAGTATTAGTTAATATTAAATTTGTCTGTGCCCGGTACAACACCAGGGTGTTTTAACTGTTGGCTGTTCCCATTAAGATGTCAGTTCCTTCTTTTCACATCTAACTAAAAACCAACTCATGATACCTGGATAACAGCAAATGCCAAAGAAAAGAAACAATATCCTACACATAACCAAAATTACTCATTTGTCCTTAATCTCTAAAAATATCCTACCAATGTGATCCATTTTCTACCGACCATGAGGAAAAACCTGGGGGGTTTTTTTCCTGATTTCACCCTTTTAAGATTCCTCAAGCTCACCTACTTGATAGTTTTATCCCAAGAAATTTCAAAGAAAATTTAGGATCCATTAACAAAAGTAAGCTCCAGAATGGTTTACAATCATAGTTCTTTCTATAGTCCACTTACAGATAAAAACTTGAAGTTGTGTTTTCTTAACAGAGCTTAAAGGGAGCATAGTTTTCCGCATACCACATGCCTGTTCTTCATTAAGATGTCTCTTAATGCATCAGAAGTGACAACCAGAAATACTGAAATTTCCAATTACCCAACAGTGCACTTCTGGGTTACTTCTGCCACATGTCTGCCTAGCCATAGTCCTTTAAGACATGCTTGAAAATTCAGAACCTTCAGATAATCCACAACTACACAGTTGTAAATTTGTAAACTTCTGTGCCAGCAGTGTTAACAAGGATGGCTGCATCTTTCCATGAAAGATCTGCTTGAAGATTAAAAGTACAGACAAATATTACCTCAAAGCAGCAGTATAAGAATATTCAAGTTTGAAAGTTCTGGGGGAGCACCAAAAGAAGTTTCTCTACTGTAAGAGTCTCCACTCCATACGTTACTGTCGAGTATAGGTGCAAAAATAAACTACTAAAAGGACATTAGAAAATTCTATAGCATACTTCATACAGACACTGAACAAATCTAGGTACCCAACTCTTCAGTTAAATGGTCACCTGATGACTTTTTTAAAGGACCAAGCACTGTAGCTAAGTAAGTTATGTATCTCAATGCCTTCAAATACTTTGCGATGTACTTCGACTGCCAAGACAACCACCTGTTGGTTTAAGCTCTGAAGCTCTCAATTTTCATAGAATCATAGAATGATTTGGGTTGGAAGGGATCTTAAAGATCAACTAGTTCCAACCTCCCCTACCATGGGCAGCGACACCCTCCACCAGACTAGGTTGCTCAAAGCCCATCCAACCTGGCCTTGAACATGTCCAGTGATGGGGCATCCACAACACCTCTGGGCAACTTATTCCTCTCCAGCCTTCTTGTAGGCACCTGTCAGGAACTGAAAGGCCGCCATAAGGTCTCCCTGGAGCCTTCTCTTCCTTCTGCAGGCTGAACAGCCCCACCTCTCTCAGCCTGTCCGCAGAGGAGAGGTGTTCCAGCCATCATTTTCATGAACCTCCTCTGGACCTGATCCAATTAGGTCCATGTCTTTCCTGTGCTGAGGGCTCCAGAGCTGGACGCAGGACTCCAGGTGGGCTCTCACCAGAGCGGAGCTGAGGGGCAGAATCGCCTCCCTGAGCCTGCTGGCCACACTGCTTTTGATGCAGCCCAGTACACATTGCAAAGTCATGTTGAGCTTCTCATCAACCAGCACACCCAAGTCCTCCTCCTCAAACCTGCTCTCAATTAATTCTTTGCCCAACCTGTAACTGTGCTTGGGATTGCACTGACCCATGTGCAGAACCTTGCACTTGGCCTTGCTGAACCTCATGAGGTTCGCATAGGCCCACCTCTCAAGCCTGTCAAGGTCCCTCTGGATGGCATCCCTTCCCTCCAGCACATCAACCACATCACTCAGCTTGGTGTTGTCAGCAAACTTGCTGAGGGTGCACTCAATCCCACTGTCCATGTCACCAAAGACGTTAAAACAGCACCAGTCCCAGTACTGACCCCTGAGGAATGACACTGGTCTCCACTTGGACATCAAGCCATTGACTGCAACTCTTTGAGTGCGACCACCCAGCCAATTCCTTATCCACAGACGGCTCCAGCCATTGAATCCATGTTTCTCCAATTTAGAGACGAGGACGCCATGCAGGACAGTGTCAAACGCTTTGCTCAAGTACAGATAGATGACATCAGTTGCTCTTCCCTTACCCACCAATGCAGTAACCCCGTCATAAAAGGCCACCAAATTTCTCAGGCACGATTCACCCTTAGTGAAGCCATGTTGGCTGTCATCAGTCACCTCCTTATTTTCCATGTGCCTTAGCATAGTTTTCAGGAGGATCTCCTCCATGGTCTTGCTGGGCACAGAGGTGAGACTGACTGGTCTGTAGTTTCCCAAGTCTTTCTTTTTGCTGTTTTTAAAAATGGGGGCTATGTTTCCCTTTTTCCAGTCAGTGGGAACTTCACTGGACTGCCACAACTGCTCAAATATGATTTATAGTGGCTTAGCAATTTCATCCACCAGCTGCCTAAGGACCCGCAGATGCTCTTCTCCTACAGTGGGCAGTTCTTCATGCTCCCAGTCCCTGCCTTTGCCTTCTGTGACTTAGACAGTGTGGCTGAAGCACCGGCCAGTGAAGACTGAGGCGAAGAAGTCATTGAGTACCTCAGCCTTCTCCATATCCCAGGAAACCAGGTCTCCTGTTTCCTTTCAGAGAGGGCCCACATTTTCCCTAGCCTTCCTTTTATCACCAATGTACCTATAGAAGATTTTCTTGTTGCCCTTGACATCCATGGCCAGACTGATGTTAATTAGTTTCAAACAGGTGTAAACATTTAAAACAAGCTTCTGGAGATTTGACCACTCACACTTTTAAACGAATACTTCATTTCAAACCTAAGAATTATGAACACTCTTTACAAGTTTTCCAGTAGGCAACTACCATTCAGCCAAGGACAGATCAAAAGCCTTTCCATACTTCAGTTGGAACTGAAGCTTCCTTTATTCTTGCTTCAACAAAAAGCTCACTACAGAATACATGAAAAAGTAATATTTTGAGGAAAATTACCCCCAAGTATAGCAAAACCAAGGTAAAACATAGGCAATCCCTGTTAAAAGGCCTTATGAACTGACAGAAGACTATTCCATGTCTAGTCACAGTTGTCAAACACCAGGCAGCTCTGAACAGCTACAATGCTTTTGCTAGTGATCCAGAACATTTTGGGATAACCCAGAGGTTTTTCAAAGGACAACATTAACTCGTCTGATCAAACCTACCTACAATTTTTACCTAGACTCAAGAAAAATAAGAAATCCATCCTGACAGGAATTCTTCTACACTGATCCAACAGTGAAGTTCCAGCGCTATGAGTTTAATATTGGAAAACAATAACCTACCAGTATAAAATGACTATTTTCAGGCAACAAACACAGACAGTTCTGAAGTTCAAAGCCTTGCTTCCTGTACTGCAAAACTTCTATGAGCTGCTGGCACCAGGGTGCGGCATGTTTGGATTTTTGTTTTCTTCTGTAGTTTTAGGAACTTTTTTTACTGAATTGGGGCAGGGGAGAAATCAAGCCACCTCCATTTTTTATCTCAAACTAGTACATTTTTCAGTTCAATCTTGGTGCAACTGACTGGAGTTGTTCCAGTAAACTTCACAGAAAGTTCAACAAAACTTCAAAAGTCATTCAACAACAAAAATTTTAAAACCAGTTTCAATCACTAGAAAAAAAACAAATGTTCAAGCTGCTTCAGATGGCATTCCCAGAAGGCAGGAAATACATGGGGAGAAAAGCAGCACTTATCAAACCAGTAAAATGTACTTCTCCCTAATCACTGCCAAAACCATTACAGGGCTGCAAAATGATAGGCCATAACACACAAAGCATCTGTCTAACATGCTGCAAATATTATCCCTTACTGATAAAAATACTGCCAGGGTAGAAATCTAAATTACCAAATGCTGTTCAGATGACTTTATGAAAAATTACACTCAGCTAAACATTATGCTGCATGAGCAGAAATGGTTGCGAATGCAAGAACTTTCAAGTTTGCAGAACACAGATGATCCAAGCACAATGCTAATCAGAAAAACTTAATGTTCAAACTTCATGTTCAACAGGAAGTTCTCTCCATCTCCACATATTTTCCTCAGAAGAGTTCATCAATGTACTGCAAAATAGGGATTACGTAAAGCAGACTACTGATCTTCCTCTACTAAACAAAGAAGAGCCTAGTATTAGAAATAACAGTACTGATATCAATGTTAGAAATGGTAAGAAACCATTTAGATAGAACTGGGGAGATGTTTCTTGTTCATGTGGAATGCTTAAATCTTTCCAAACTATGTACAGACACTCACATCTATGTTACTTCTATGAGCAAATACATTTTATTTCTTCATGACTATACGGTTTCCAGCCCAGACACCACGTGGAGTAACTACTGGTGTAGAACAAGCAGGACCATCTGTGAAAGTTCTGAGAAATGAGCAAATTTAATTACTCACCTGCAGGTCATTTTCCTTCTGAGACTGTACAGACTCTCCTTTATTACAGGACCTCTATGAATGAGAAAAAGCAAACACAATAAGAAGGTGAAATTCAACATGATTAACATGCAACCACCAGAACAAAGGGAGTAGAAGTGCCAGCTACAATTAACTAGATGTCTCAACACTGTCTTGATCTGTGACAGCTACAGCACTAGTATCCATCTGACCTCTGACCACCACACTATTTCAACAATTTCAAAATCTTTCAAAAGGATGTGCCACTGAGACCAGACTACTGTAAAAAGCCCAAGAGCTGATTTTCAGGTATGTTTTTACTGTTTCACAGTATTTCAAAACAAGATTTCAATGTATCACAAGCTTAGAGGAATATTTTTAATTAAGAGAAAATTAAGTCCCTCTGCATGACATCTGGGATGATAGTCGTCTTGCAGCTAAAGCACTTGAGATGCATTACAGAGATTATATAAAAGCCTTATAAGGACTATTAGAAGAGGCATGTTATGAAGCTTGTAAAGCACTTGCTTTTTTATTTTCCAAATTTCTTGTGACTAGAACCTCCTTATTTACAGTATGCTATCTAGGCTATATGTACAATGTACCACTGGCTGTGCAAATCCAAGATTTTTCTTCACATGAACTGCCTATGTAAGCTAAAGATGTCTCAGTAAGAACTGCAATATACTAGCAAATCTTTAACGAATTCCATGCATAATATATTGTGCTAGGATTGTTAACAGTCATTATAAAGCAGTTTCAGAGTATCAGACTATACCCTCAGAAACTGAACCCTCAATGGCACATGCTTTTAATAGAGCTGCACATTTAAAATTCAAGATGGAATAAAAACCTTGTCCTTTAATGGGCTTGAAGGTAAGGAGAAGAGAAAGCAAATATTTACTTAGAATTAATGACAGTTTGTGGTTGCTATTTATGTTGCAACTCCACCATTGCCTGTTTAAACCAGATTAGCTTTAGAGGCCCATAAAGGTAGCCTGCATCTCCACCTTCTGAACAAAAACATTTGATTCATAGAACCGTGTGCATACCTTCCTGTTCCAAAGCTCTAACATGTCCAAAACAAGGGTGGAAATATGAACTTAATGGTATACAGTTAAGCAACACCAGCTGCCTTAAGTACAATACAAGAGGCTAATTATTTACACAAGCTATGCAGTTACAGTATTTCAGAAGCTATAGAAAAAGTATAGTTAATATGAATCAATGGTCTTTCAGCAAGTAATTCCCATTCCACTAACATAATAAGTTTAAAACAAGACAATATGGAAATTGCTATTAGTTTATATTCCTTTCAAGGAAAATAATACAGTCAAAACATATTCAATAAAGCTACATGCATAACTACTCAGTAGTATTAAAGTCATTTACAGAGGGCATCTCTGAACAAGCATGTCCTACATCAATACCACTCTTGCATCTTACAGATTTTTCTTGAAGAGTCAGAAAGTTACTCACCATCCAGGAGTCTTTCCTGATTAATGGTGCTCTCAGAATGGTTCAGTTCATCAGAAGGTAAGCAGATTAGGCTTTTCCCTAGAACCTGAACTGGCATCTACTTTCCAGAAGTCATACTGTATAAAGAACTAGCCAGTTCTAAGAGTCCACCTCAAATTAGTGTTGGAGATACCCTAATCGCATCTGCTGTGCCATTAGAAAGAGACAATTAGGGATACGTACTGCAGAGTCATCAGAAAAGGAGACTTCTGCATCATCCCTTCCTCTTTTCTGTTCCCTCAGCATGGAGCATTAGTGTCCAGAGGAGAATGAATACAAAGTAATGAATGGGAGCTTGGAGAGGATCAGTCTTCATAAGTGGCCATGTACTCAGCCTAGAATTAGGAAACTCTCCAGTACATGAGGTCAAGGAGAATAAAGTAAGCAGGATGCAATTTTATGTAACAAAAGTTTAAGAATTTCACTCTAATACAGATGTTAAAGTGGTAGGATTTGATTGTTTTCTGACTGCACAATGAGAACTGTGGTTCAAAGTGAAACATCTCATACCACGAGGTATTTGAACTACATGTTTAACTCATGTGGTTTTGGCTAAAGCAATCAAAACTTCAGTTTTTCCACAAACTCTAATAGCTCACTTCAATTTATGTCCAATTCTGGGAGCTATTTACTTCAACAGCAATAAGGAGATTTTAATTATCCAAATATGACTGAATAACTCCTGGAGGTTTTTAATTACTCTGTCTAAATGGAAATATTAACTAGAAATGAACATGTGTTCTACATCTTTAAGATTTCTTTAAATATTTGTTCAGTTCTTGCTTTATTGTGGGAAGGTTTATTCTCAAAGCAGATTAAGAAAACTCCCTACAATTTTAGTAAGGGAGGACAGCTATATGCAAAGAGACAACAGAAGTTGTTATAGATTATACTTTGTGACCATGTAAATTGATTTTAAGGCAGGAAGTTTCAGGTATAAGATGAAAGTCCTAGAATGGGAGACATTCAACACTATCTGATCTGCGATCAGAAGATGACCAGTGTTTACGCATCTGGCAGTTTGACACAGAAAATTGAGTTCTTCATTATTTTCTTCTTAATGCCCCAAATTTATTTCTCTTGTAGCTGGCAGATGAGCTCTGTATCAAAAATCTCAGGTGATGCTTGGCAGGAGAATTCTGTACAGAGAAGGAACTTAGAATTTTTTTTTTCCCCCAAGTAACTCTTAGCTCTGCCCACAAATTTAAATATTACATTACAACTCCATTTTTCTGAGTTTACTCATCTTCAGTAGTTTAAGATTTCAAAATACTGCAATACTTTGATTTAGACAAATCCATAGGAATTCAAATCCCAAGGAATTACAACATTAGAAGGAACTGACTGAGAGGTTAGAGGCAACCTATGCAGGGGAAACTTTTCTTAATTCTAGAAGCTGTTGGAAGCCATTGATTCGAACTTCAGGGTATGGGAACACAAACAGTTTTAGATTCAACAATAACAATATCTTCCTCTCAGAATCTGCTGTTGATCACTGATCCCTCCCAGACCTGAAGGAACTGATACTGATTTGCTGAAGTCCTAGAATCTAGCACATGAAGAATGCCCAGTTCAAGCCCTACAAAAGCCACAAAAAACAACTCTAATCCTCTTCACTTCAAGTTACCATTCTCTCATGAGGGAGCAGAGGAAAGGAAGGGGCAGTACTTTGATACTTTGTTATGGCTGTAAACATTCAGATGCACAAGACAGTAGCTGGTGCTACTTAAGCCTTATTTTTAAACAATGAAATCCAGTACTAAAGAAAATGAAAGCTGTAGAGAATGCTCCAACTTCAGAGATCTCATACTATACCGTGAATCGTGTCTGTCACCTGGAAACCAGAGTGCTCTAGGCACGATCGCATGGGCAAGCCTGCAGCAGAGAACACATGCATATACAACTAAAGTGGTACATTACCCCCAGAATACCCTTAACTCCACCCAACACAAATATATCCCCGTAAGAGGTGCTTGGTTTCTTTCAAGCCGTCTGCCAGTGCCAGGGATTTGTAGTTACTCCATGCTACAAACAGACATGGACACCAACAACCACAGAAGACGTTGATAATTACAGTTACACAGCAGTCTGCATTTTATTTAGTTACAAAAAATAAAAGGCAGCAAGGCAGGTATGGAAAAAGATTTACCACAGAACTGTGGCAACCATTTATACTTAGTTTGCATCTGCTCACACAGAAATTGAGATACCAGAGATGAACATTAGGTACACTGATTTGGTTTTCCTCATTGATATACAAGATTTTGTTTTGGCTGTTGCAAAGTAACAGAGCCCCAATGAATCCGAGTTCAAGGTTCTTTTGACATGTGTAAAAGAATGGGAATCAATCCCCAAGTTACCTTTTGATAGGCAAACTTCAAAGAAATTCACCTTAATTTAAGCTTCTTTTTTTGTTGATGCTAGCTTATGTTGAAATCCTAACAGTATTTCTAAGATGTGGGAAATTTTGGTCGTTCTGAATTTAAGTAGAAACACTACAGTGATCTGCATATGAAATCCAGTCTTAAAGTCTGGACATTAAATTGCATATTGTTGGAGAACCTTTTGTTTCAGTTGTTTTATCAATGATATAGCCAATAATTAAGGACATTTTGTCATGAGGAAGTTTTACTTTCAATGCTCCCCTTCAAATTTAGCAACTAAGCTGGAGCAAGAGTAAGTGAAGCAGAGTAAGACACTTCCCTTCTTTCAACGTAGAACATATCTGCATTGTGCCTCAAACATTTGGGTTTTAATGTGGTTAGTACTTTAACCTGTCACAAGCACAAATACTTGTCTTAAAAAAAAGTTCTGCTCAAGGATATACTCAAGAGACGTCCTTGATTTTTAAACATCCATGCCAGTGCGACCATTCATAATAATGGCCGAACCAGCTCTGTTCGTTTCCCCCCCAACTCCCCCCAAAATAATCATGCATACAAAAAATTGGCTTAAACATATCAGCTATGACAGAAGAAGGCACAGAACCTTCCCTGTGTGGCAGCTTTAGCCAACTGGCATGGTTTGTATTGGATGAGTTTCATGTACTGACATTTGTGTCTTCCAAGATTCATAATAAGCAAACTGGGGTTATTTTCAAACTGCAAAAAAGGTTCCTTTAAAAGGTGGCTCGAAGAATTATGGTGCCAGTATCATTCATTCTTAAGTTAGTATTGGGTATCTATTTTTCACTACTATTCAATATTTTAAGTTAAACTTGTCTTCTGTATGTACAACAATTTGGTGCAGATTTCTATAGACCTATAGTATTTACAGTAAAGGAATAACAAAAGCTGATATTATCACTGTTTTGTGCTCCAATTTCAACAGAAAGTAAAATGGACAAGAGTTAAAACATGCTACAAAGGCTCAAGCAAACAAGTGGTAACTACTAATACCCAGTGGCAGTTAAGTCATTGAGAATTAAGTCATGATTTTAGAATAAGGTCTCAAAACTGAACTTACATCAGCAGTGCCCCTTAATTTCTATAGGGCTTTAAACTTAAGCAACATTATAAAAAATATCAGATTACTCTCTCAACAGACTTGTCATAAGATTCTGCTTATGCCACCCAGAAATCGGTAAGAATCCTAAGTGAGGTTTTCAAAATACCCCAATAAAACAGTTTGCTTATATTTTAACTTGCACTTAAGGTAGAGGGGCTGGAAGAGACAAATGTTTGTCGACAAAAATTGTGAACCTCAATGCAATCTGAAAGTTTTACCTTGGGACTCTCTCTGCTTACTTAACCTTTAGTGAACTGCACCAACAAGAGCAGTCATTTCACTGCCACTACGGAAATAAAGGAAGTTAGACATCTCAAAAGATCCTTCAACACCAAGAGTACAAAGGTTAGAAAGTTATGAACACGCTTTCAATCTTGAAACCAAATTAGTTCTGATTTTAGAGCCCAGAATTTTATTTTGATTTCTTCAGTGGACAAGGGCACAGAAAAGGCACATAAAAAAAACCTGAGGGAAGAGGAAGGCAATTAAATTCTAGTCTCTACTTTTCCTTTGAAATAAGGGAAAGGCCACATTTCTTCACAGCTCTTGGGCAACAAAAGTTCTACCACTACAGAAGTTTTACAGCCCATGTTCCTACTCAAGGCTCCTACATATTAAGTCAGCATTACATTAAAGCCATTAATAATTCTGAAAAAAATTCTCAGCATCAACTCTAGGAGTTATTTCGAAAACAAAGTTTCAAAAGCAAAAGCTTTGCTTTTGGTTTCTCTTCAAGCTTAAATAGTCTTTCCTTTAGTTTAACTAATGAACTTCTGCACACTTCTCTTGTTCAACAGTTTAACTTTCCACACACACATACAGTGGTGTAGCCCGGTGTTTCATGCTGTTTCAAGCCACTGTAATCTTTTACATATTTCTGGTAAAGTTTGCTACCATGGGAAAGTTAATACCTCACATCGTATAATAAAAGAACACATTAAAGCCAGTTAAGTGACACTATCCAATGAGATTTTTAATAGTAAGTTTGGTCAAGTCAGCAGAAGCAGGAAGAATGGGCTGAAATTTCAGGAACAGTCAATCTCCTGCAGATATTTGATCAGTTATTCAAGCAAGTGACTGAGTACTGGAAAAATATCAAATTAGTGGATTATAAAACCAGATTGTCCAAGTCAAATAGAAACAAATACAAACACCCAAATATAATTTTATGAAGATGCAATTTTTCATAAGCTTAAACACGTTATGAGTATTTATTTACAATATAATCAAGTGTCCAGCAGAGTTGGGCAAGAGAAGATCTGCTGTATAGTCCTACTGTAACTGTCTGTGGGCTTTGGAAGAGAACATCTTTGCAAAATATTCTTGATTTTAAACCTTACTATTTGAAACAGATTTGCCAACCACTTCTCTTAAGAAGTGCTTCTCTTAATTTCAATGCTATTTACATTTTACTAACCAAATAAAAGAAAAGTAACATTAGAAGTTTGACAAACATCTGGTTCAGATTGCCAGCTATGAGGCGTATCACACATTTAGGAAAGCATGTTTTGGAATGAGATGGCTGTACGGTATCAATGTTTGTGCTTCATTTTTATTCTAACGCTATAGATCACATTTTCCAGCAACGCAATTACCCATGAGATCTCTAACAAAATGCTTGAGCACTGTACAAGTTTGACAAAACATTCAACTTTAATCTCCAGGATTCGTAAGTGCTACCAATATGAAAATTAAGTGGTTTAGTCTCTTGCAATCTTGGTAGTTATGCCAAAGTCCTACATACTGTACAGAAACAAACTTTAACTTTACTGGAACATGACAATCCAAACTTAACACCATAAACAAAACATTACTGATGAAACAGACATCATATGAGCCTTCAGCTGATACACGCCAGTCAGGATCTGTATAGAAAGCAGCGTAAGTTGTAGACAATAACAAGCTACAAAGAAAACTGCTTCAAGCTAGCAATCTACCCCACTAACACTAAAACACATTCCCAAAAGGTTAAACCAGCACACACTTGCAGTGTGTCACAATGAAAATCTCCAAACATACCACAATTAAGCTACAGAAACCCTCCCACTCCCAAAGCACTCTATGTACTCACCATCTGCAGGATTGCACCATATAAACGCAGGAGAACTTTCCGTGGTTCATCTGCAACTGTCTCAACAGCATCAGGTAGTGAGCACTGAAACAGCATGTTGCTGAGGCCACCTCTACCAACAGAAAGGTAAGTTTATCAGCTAACTTGGATGAGCATACATATTTCCTTTTCTACAAATTAGAGGCACACTACTCATCCTTTTAGGATGGTTAACTGATAAGCTCTAACATGAGAAAATTTTCCAGCAGTACCAATCACTCATAAGGCTTCAACAGAAAGTTTAGCAGATTCATGCTTCTTACTGTACAGTTCACCATTAAGATCTATTGATACAAATTACAGCTCAGGCTACGAACAAACTGATGTAAAACACAACAGGCAACTAAGAAAGATGTTGACCTCTGCTGACAATTATTTTCGGGACTTCTAGAAATTGATGCTGCTGTCTTGTCAGATGTACTTGGCCACACAAACAAGCAAGACGACAGCAGAATAAGCTTAAAATCACAGAGCGAGTATAAAACCCTTAGTTTGAATTAAGAGCTGGTATCACTGGGATGGTAGCTACAAAGATTTAACCTGAATACCAGTGCTACAGCATCACTGATGAAAGTCATACTTTTGCTATCACATTCTTAGGGACTCATTTTCAATTTTGAAATTTACAATTAAAGCAGTTGTTTATTTTAATGAAATTGCTTGTGTATTTGGCAAAACTGAAGTCACCCTCAGAAACTTAACAGGTAAGACATGAACTAGGGAGTCCTGTGCTTCAGTCATTCAGGGGTTATACAAGCATGCTAGCTTTTCATACAATTACTGTTTTATAACAGTATTCTTACAGGAAAAAGTGACAACGTGTTTTCTACAGGTTTATCAAGCTAGATGGATAGGAGATTAGAGAAGCTAAGTTTCTTGATTTCTAGTAGCCCATTAAGAACACCAGTCTATTCAGCCCACATTTTCTTTACCACATTGTCTTTCTGCATCCTCTTCATTATCAATATATTCATTAACAAGTTTTCACATTTCCCTTCTGCAATAGATGTTCCTCTACTATAAGGGGGAAAGTACTGAAATTTCTGGTTTTTTTGAGAAACAGAAATGCAAACCAGCTCTACTGAAAAAAATTGTCTGCCTCACCATTAAAGAAAGAACTTTTCAAAACCAGATACAATCTAAATGTAGCAGGTAGCAGTAAAGGAATGAGGTAGCACAGATTTAAAAAAGTAAGTAATTTTACTTGTGGCATGCTACAGAACTTACTGCAGGAACTCTAGAATGTAAATAATAGTACCTCTGTCATGTTGCGATTTCCTTCAAAGTAATGCAGTTTTTCATAACACCCAAAGTGTAAGTATTTAATATTACCTTGTAGTGAGCTTTGACTCCAGGAATCCATGGCAGATCCAAAATGTGATGACTAAAATGCAGTTCTTAGTCCTAACCTGACACTCAGTGCTTTTTCAAGTATTTTTCTGGGTTCTCTTACAATGCAGTGGGGGAAGCACTACAGACTTTCTGGAGGAAAAGGCTACCCAGAAGTAGGTGACCTGTATGTATTTACTGGAGCTGATACAGAGAAGAAGGGCTGGCCAACATATTCAAAGCCAACAACTGAGAAGCAAGAATGAAATCTCAAGAAAATAGGCTAAAAAACTGCACAATATGCTTAAGAAAGAGGACAGAAGAGAACCAGGTGGCTTGGCAGGCATCCAAAAAACGATGTTTAGAGACAAGAGGTATGAAGTAACTTTGAACCATGAAGGTAAACAGGTAGAAAAAGCAGAAAAGGTATCAAACGAAAAGCAAAGCCAGACTATTCAGATGCCATCAGAATATTGGTTAGTTGTGCCAACTACTTTTCTGGCTTCATTTAAACTGTGCTAGACAGTTTTTCTTGAAAAAAAAAATTGCTACCTTTTCTAAGCCCCTGATATAGATTTTGATGAAACTATCAATATTTAAATAGAAGAACTAACCACACTGAAACCCACTTTACAAAAAATACTGGACTAGGGCTCAAAAACCTGTACAACTATGTTACTTATTTAAATACAAGATCAGCCTTCATACAGTGCACGAAAGCCCAGAAATTATTCTTTTTTATACCTCTCAAACAGAACTGTCTTACTGAGGCCAAACTCCATTAAACAGCAGTTTCACTATAGTTTTATGCAGTTCAGACATCTGTAGACTCAGCAGCTTATCTAAGGGTCAAAAGGGCACACCTCACTCTTACACAGATAAAGCTACCAGTTAGTCTACTGTTACAAATTACTTAAAGGTAAACCCTTCCAAAAGGGTCACCTATTTTCAAAGCTTTCCACAGCCTTCCCCAAATCACAGCCTCAGCAGTTAGATCTGCTTATATACTTGCATTCTGATCAGATGCAAATCTATTTCTCTGCTCTAATAAGGACTGGATCCCACCATCCTGATACCAAGTACCTAACAGTGGTTCATGAACATGATTTGCACTGATGCAGTCAAAATGGCAATACTGACACAGTAGTGAATGCACACTGAGTGCTGACTTTTGTGAAACTAGAATCAGCAAACCAACATGATTTTGCGTTCTCTGTAAATACAAGTGGTGAAAAGACTTTTACCAAAATAAATGCAACTGCTAATTAGCATGGTTTTACACTGTCTTCAATTTCAGCCCATCCTCTCTTCATACCAATTCAGAAACCACCCAAGCCATTTTGAAGTGGTATTTCAGAGGAGAAGTTTCCACAAAATGCAAGAACAACTGCACTAAAACCTAAGGCTTTAGAAAATAAGGACCAAAGTCAGCAGTACACACTAATAAGGATGAAAACAGAATTAAGCACGACAGATTACAGACATATTACCAGATAAGTTTACTGTCTATGAAAAGTATTGGTCTTCTAAAAATTCTCTCCCTTTATAAACTTATTGTGATCATGTCAAGTGAGCAGAAATTATCTAAAAATACAAATACTATCTGCACTAGCTTTCAATAAGTCGCTCATTTTTACTAATGCTTTTAAAATAGATTTGGAAACAAGCATGATGGGTTTTGATTATACTTTCATATATCAGAGCTTTGTCAACAGTTTATGCTCTCTTAGCTAACTGGGGGTAGATTTGCATGTATTTCGTGTAACAACAAAAGTGGAAACACTAGGAAAGCAAACTCGGGACTCACGGGGACAAACTGACAATATCCTTTGAAACTTTATGCGACTCTGCAGTTGATCAGGTAGAATTATCAAGCACTAAGGCACACTAGACAAGCAGTCTGTAAAAGTGAAGCTCTGAACTAACACCGATTTAACTGGTATACAGGACTGGTACAAAAAAAAAAGACTAACTCCACAAAGAAGGCAAGGATCTCACACACATCACATACGGCTTCTAGAACATCCCCAATTCACATATTTCTGCTGCCAAAAACAAGTCTCCTGCACGCTGCCGACATGCTGAGTCACAAGCACTTGTCACTATATATGCTAAAGGATGATTCACATCATCGATACACCGCATTTACCCGCTAACTTCTGAATTTCAGAACGGTCAAGGTCACGGCAAAAAGGGCACTTTTTTCTCAGGTGGGAGCTCCCAACTCGGTGCAGCGGTTCGCTTCCACCGTCACGGTCCGGTGCGTCTCCCCCG